GGCGGCCCGGGAGGAGGACGCGCGTGGGTCGCGAGTGCGCACGGCTAAAGCAGGGCTCGTGTGGGTGGTGGTCCCCCCACGGCGGCCCAGCCCGCCCTTCCCCTCCTGAGGGCTGGCGGGTCCGGCCCGCTCTCCCTCCCTCCGGCCGCCGCTGAGGTAGCGAGGGGCGTCCGGCGTGCGCGCCTTCCGCTGCTTCGCTGCGGGTGTTCGGAACGTGAGGCAGCGCTGGCGGCTTGTTTTGAAGTGTTTGTGTTCGGGTAGGCATTAAGAAGGGACAGCAGCGGTTTTGTTTTCTGGAACTTAATCTCTGCGTCTCCACTCTATCAAGCGATTCCCTTCTCTCCCACCGTCTTTCGGAAACATTTGAAATCTATTATTTGTTTCATAAAATAAGGCTTTCATTAAATGAAATTTCAGCATCGTGAACTAGGGAAATGCGGTATGATGCTGCTTCTGTTGTGAATTTAATCTTCCTGAGAAGTCCAGCAGCCCTAGGGCTGAAGGTACGACGTGGTGGGGTTTTGGCGTGCTTACAGCTCAAGGGCCTGCGGGCATCGTGTGGTCATCTGGCTTCTGTGCATGCCTTGGGTCACAGGTGGTTGCCAACTGAGGTACTCTTGTTAGTAATCCGGAGCATCCTGCTATTATCAGTCTGATAGTGCAAATTCATAATTTGAGTTCACCCTGTGAACTGCCTACTGTTGGTTAAGATTAAACATACTGAGGCCTCATTATAAAAGGATCATTTGGTGGTAATGTTTAATCATTAGTGACCTGCACCAGTTAAGACTGTTGTCTATTAGGAGTCCCACATACAGTTTTGCAGATATGCTTGCTATAAAAATGTCTGTGGTCATGCACTGAGTGAAAACTATTGAAATATACTTTGCTTATAAACTGGGGGAAGATCTAATCATAGCAGATGTTTTAGAAAGTAAAATACTCATATAAAAATATGTATGAGATTATTTATTTACCCACCCGTGTAACGCCTTCTACTTAGTTTTTAGAATTTGAGTTTGGTGGCAGCAAAAAGGGAGCCTTGAGTCTTGTTGCATTTATCTCCTTCTGAACAGACATGTCCTGTACAGGATAACACTACTGAGTAACGAGGAAAGCCCCTGTGAGCACTGTGCATTCATTTACTTCTGAGAGCAGGGCTATGAACCAGAAGCCTAGGTCCTTGCTGCACCAGTTCTGATCTGTGCCTGTTGCCCTGGAGGCAGGTTTTCTTCTTCGTTGAGACTTCAGTTCCACAAACTCTGTCTCTGCTGTCCTTTCTTCAAGAGAACCAGCTGGGTGCTCCATACGTGATACCCTGAGTTGATGTTCTGACTCTGTGTTAGGAACATTAACTGGAGATGATACGTTATTTGCTCAGTAAGTAGGAAACTTAGAGAAATATTTTGTAAATGTTACAGGAAGAATTGCAAAATCCCTGTAGCTTTCACAACTAGGCAGGATTAATGAACTGGAACATGGGCTGCATAATTTATAGTAGAAAAGAATTTGCTGATCAGGATTCTACTTATTTCTGAGAAAACTTAACTAGAAGTTATGTTTGATTGAAAATCTGCCTGTAATGGAGCAGAAGACCCTGAAGATGGGGTATACATAGTCTTTTAGACTATTGAATGAGTGGAATGCTGTGAATCATGGCTAAGTTTGTGTGGTAACAGTCTTGCCCTATTGAAGTCCATGGGATCTGGTGGGTATTATAACTACTCTGGAACCTTCACTGGGTATATCTGTCTCCAGATGCACTACAGCTCTTGCTGTCCAGCTATTTCAGCACTTGCCAGAAGAAACAGGTGTGCCTGGCAAGCTCACTTACTAAGCTGGTTTTATATCTTGCTCTTCTACCTTTTTTTCCAATATTAATACATGCTATAATCTCAGAGGAGCACAGGTTTTGTGGCAGGTCGTGCACAGAGGTAACGCCATTGTGTAGCTAGTTCTTGCTCCATTGATGCTCTTGAATCAAGTTCTTGAAAAGTCATTCAATATTGACCGAAGGCTGCAGAAAGGAAAGGTTCGTGCCCTGGAGCTCCAGGGAGGCTGTGAAAAATGTACAAATTTATCCCCTTTTTCAGTTAATCAATTTAAGTCATGATGCTTAAAAGTAAGCTGTGAAACTTCGCTGCTGCAAGCTGTTGAAACAAAACCTAGGTGCTGTCTCTCTCTTGTTTTAGCTCACAAAATTGAAGATGGGCAATTGTTTACCTTGCAAGAGAGATGCATGGGAGGATGACATGAATAAAATTACAGTTACAAATAAAGCTTCTGCTGTTGTTCTAACACAGGATCATGGGGACATTTCGTGAAAAGGAAAGTAAAATCAGAATAGCATAAAGTCTTTCCTTTAAAGGAAGAAACTTGTTTTTGCCTTAGGCTTTTGGTCCATCTTTTGCTTTAGTCTCTAGACTTTTGCCAAGACTGCTTTGCTTATCAGAATTTCTGACATAATGGTTAATTAGATTGTAAAACTTAATGCCATAGGAAGTAATTGGGGCAAAATGAGGCCACTCCCCCTAGCAGCGTTCAAAGAAAGACTGGGCATCTTTGTGGACCATAAAACATGGAGAGTTACTGTAAACAAAGTGTCCCAGAAGGAAAAGACTTCCTGCATTGAACTTCAGGGTGAGCTCTGACTTCTAGACACTGAGGCAAATAATTCATGGGGGCTGGTAGTTCTACATCTGGGCTGTTAGGGATTTTGCATCTTCATCTGCAGTGTGGTGTTGGCAGCAGCTAAAGACAATACTGTCCTACAGGCTACACTGTAGTTTACTCCTTTTTTCCCAGATTTTTAAGGTAACTGATTTCATACATGCAGGTTTGTTTATTATGGCTTGTTCCTGGAATAGCACTAGGATTATGCTTCAAGATTGGTAGATTTCTGGGAGTGAATGAAAGAAGCAGAATACCTTGAACTTACTCTGCTTTTTTTGTTGTTGTTGCGATTTCTGTGTATTTATTTTCTTTTTGAGGATAAAATAAATAAAAAACCAAGATCTTATTCTGTTGCTTAATGAACAAAACCTTCATATGCTGATCATTATTTCAGCACAGATGTCTGTAACTCATATTCTGTGAATCTGCCCATGCAACTCTGTTCTTGAATTGCTGAGAACAACTGTGTGGGTGGATTTAGAACATGAAATTGCCATGTGCACTTATGTTTTGTTTATGCAGTACTCATTTTTAAGAGTACTAGATTGGATTTGCTTAATATTTGCGTTGTGTGTGTGTGTGTACATAATATATACAAACCCCCAAACTAGAAGGTGATCACCAAGCATAAGCTCTGT